GGAAGAGGTTTCATCCTGACCTTTTTGCAGAAATGAGTCTTATGAGAGCTGTGCTCCCCTTAAGGAGTTATGGCCAGTCTTGGTGTGTTTGTGCTGATCTCTCATGCCCAGAATTATTACAGAGAAGAAAGAGAGATGAGTGTAGATAAGAACTTAAAAGGTGGGTCTAGCCATGGAAAAGGTTATGTGGAAGAAAACCTGCTGCCTGAGGCCAGTGTAACCCTGGTCTCATGGCTCGTGAAGGCTCCGTTCTCTTCTAGTCTTCTGCTGTTTCACACCTTTATGCATCTTCCTCCCTGGTGCTACTGCTCTCTGGGTCATGCGGCTTCCCATGCTATTGTCGCCATCTGCCATGTGCCAAAAGCAAGTGAGGGCGGAGCTTAATTCAGGCAGTTGTCTCCCTCCTGGACCAGCATGGCTGGTGGCACAGGACAACCAGGAGGAACCTGCGGGGAAGTGGGGAGAGAGGCTTTGTTGTGTAGCATCACCTTCGATGATTTGGCAAGGTTGAGGAGCAACAGAAGCACTGGGCAATACAGACTGTGCAGGCAGGGTTGCCGGGATTGTGGGGCTATGGAATCCATTTGATGTTTGAAGTTTGCGACTGCGTGTAGGAAAGCCTCTTGTGCTGGGAAATTGGGAAGTTCTGCGTGGGTTAGGGCATGAATTCCCTTTCCTGTAATATGGGATGCTGGTCACAAGAGCTTTGCTGTGTGCAAGGATTCTGTGTACCCCAAGGCACTGTGCAGCAGTGGCAGTGCCAGGCCAAGGGATGGACATGTGATGAAGATACTTGGGATATCATGGTACCTTTTATGCTGAGGTGTGTAGGAAGTGTGGTGAGAGATGTGTGGAGGGCTGGAGCTTACCCTTGAGGATGTGTCAGTGCGTGGCCTGGCAAAGGTATTGGAAAATGTGATTTAGATGTCACTGTGGAGTAGTCCACTGTGGAGCAACGATCCTAATTCTGCAGTGTTGGTGTGTACCTGTTGAAGAGATTGTTGCTGGCAGCTGTAGCTTTTGTGCACTGGATTGGGTTTCAGTTCGAGCACTGACTGCTGGATAGTATTTGAGGTGAGAGATAAATGCTCTAGTATGAGCATATTCGGGGAAATTGAATGAGTAATGTGAATTGAAGTGTTATACTCCGGGATGGTGGCTCAGCTTTGCTGCTGGACTTCTGCATAGAAGCTGTTAATCAAATTGACTGTAATGTTCTGAAGTGGATGTAATGAGGTAACTTTGCAGTGACAAAGGAAATTAATTGGTTAAAGGAAAATGTCTCATTTTCAGTAAGGAATTAAGGTAGAATATTCCACTTACACAGTGGTAACTTCCAGCAGGTGCCTTTAGAAGGACAAATATGGCACGTCTTGGGTGCTTTGTAGCTTATTGAAGCTTCTTTTATATGCTTTAATGTTAGCTGGATATTCTTGCCTCTGTAACCAAACTCTGAGTGAACCACAGATTTGGCTGGATGGCTCTGAGGCACATCAGTATTGTCCTCATATTTGACAACATTAGAACATTGTATTATTACTAGTGTTGGAATAGATGTTACAAGCCTTTTCTATTACACTTATCTTGTTAAACAGCCTAATAAATGTATCAATCTGATGTTATATGAATAGTGTCTTACTGAAGGGGTTTGGGCTTGATGACATGCAAGAGCATTTCTATCTTGTTTTTTCTTTGGGTACATCAGTAAGCTTCTTGTGTCCTGTGATGGCAGGTAGAAAACATGAGAGCATAGAGGAAAAGGTGGCAAATCAGAAAAACAAAAAACCCTTCTGCAGAGAGCAAGAGTGTTCAGCAAAACCATATGGGTGGCACAGGAAAGAGAGCGAGGTTGTAACAAAAGCAGAAAAAAAAATCAAGGAACTGCTTTTGTGTGTGTGTGGTTCCTTCTGCAAAATCAACACTGTAGCTGGTCAAGTTAATGCTGATTGTTTTCATTTAAGGATATTTTACATACCAAAGCACAAATACAATTTTTTTAGAAGGAGATAGCAAGGCTAGCATGCTAACTTTTGGTTTTAGAAACCATAATACTACTCTCTGTATTTAAAGTATTAATTCCTTAATTTCTTGCCAGCCTCAAAGGCTTTCTTACAGTTGCAGGACTGAACAGAATGCATCTGGTGCTTTAGTGGGACTGTTGTGCCTTGAGGAGTTGAAAGCCTCAGGTCTAAATGAGGTGCAGTGCTAACATACTTGATCTTGGTTTAGTATGATGGTACAGTGAGCTGCTGAAGGGGAATGCAGGTTGTGTGTGTGCAGTTTAATGTAGGAATAGCTAATGAGCTTTAAGCTTCATCAGAATAACCTGTGGATTTTTGTTGTTCACTACTTTATCTCATCATTAGATGTGTGGCAGTTTAACCCTTATGCTGTCAACTAGATTTGCACTGGAATATTTAGAAAGCATATCTGAGAGTGGTGTGAGTTCATGGGTTGGAGTTGAAGTTACAACCATCCATAAAAACTGAAAATAAGCTATTTTCACTTTGCTTGTTGGTTCCACCACTGCTATCCCAAGCTGCACACCTCTAGATACCTTCAGGTCTGGAATGGAAACAGCAGACTTCAAGACTAAATACAAATATTGCTGGTTTTCCAAATGGGACATTAGTCTTCCTTGACAGCAGGGTGGGCATCCCGCAGTAGAGTTTCCAGGTGGTTAGTGCGATGATTTTAGGGTGATTTTCTTTCACTATAAAATCCTGTAATACAGGTGGTAGTTACTTGATTTCTGCATCTGCTCTAGGTTAGACTAGTATGTGAGAACTGTGGATGTGCAATCAATCCAACTTTTTCTTTTGTAAAGAAGTAGGTTTAAGTTGTTTGGTGGGTGTGTTTTGGTTTTTAAATCCACTGTACTTGGATGGCTTTTTAATTTATGATCTGTTTTCCCAGAGGAGTGACCACAGTGGGTAAAATTCCTTCAGACCAACTCATGTGTTGCAAATACTAGTGGAGCACTTGTGGTGGTGACTGATGCCAGATTGTAGATCTCCTTGGAGAAGTTCAAATACAAGTTATGTGGCAACAAGTCTTTGAATTTCTAGTCTGTGTTAGTGTGCAAGGCTGCTGAGCTTGATGTTGATTATCAGGTGGCTGATAATCATAGAATCCTAGACTTGTTTGAGTTGGAAGGGAGCTTAAAGCTCATCCAGTTCCAACCCCCTCCCATGGACAGGGACACCTTCCACTAGACCAAGTTGCTCCAAGCCCCATCCAACCCATTTTAAAATGGCATAGGTATGTTTAGCTCATCTTTGACCTCATCCTTGAATAAAGTTGAGATTCTGAAGTGCACTAGAGAGCTGGCATGCAGCCAGCATTAGTTGGAAGTCAAAACTCAAGCATGCTTTTGGGGTACACTTTCCCACCAAAGCTCCTCCTGCTGAACCTCTCCTCTTTCACAGGCTACAGAGCATTCTGTTCTCAGCAGGGATAACCACCTTGCGAGCTCTCTGTGCTGTCACATTCTCTACTCCACAGATGCCAGCCGTTTTCTCCCACAGGTAGTTCTGAGTATCTAAGCTCTAGCGGTTCTTGGTTTGTATTTTATTTTGGTAGTTGAATTTACTACCCTGAAAACTTGTATGCTATCTCCTGTTACACCATTGGTCTTATAAAATATATTTGCTCTTCTGTAAGTCTGGCCAGATCTGTGTAACCTTAATACTGCTGGCCTAGGGTTTGAATCCACTTCAGTTCCCATTTGTATGAGTAAAGCTCAAAGCAGCCAGAGGCCTAAAACATGAAAAGAGCTTTCTTGTGTGATGCACAGAAAGCTAGGCCTGGTGATACTTGATGTGGAGAACTTGGTAATACAGTGTTTTGCTGCTTTTAAGAATTTGTCAAATCTTAGGTATGTAAGTAATTGACCTCTAAAGGAAGCCAAAATAGCTGTCATGTCTTGTGTCCTAAACCAGAATTTCACCCCTTTGCACATTCACAGTGCAGCACAGACCTGTGGTTAAAGGGTTCCTGGTCAGGGATTGCAGAGAGGGTCTAGTGGCTGGCAGATCTTGATGTTTAGCAGCTATAATTTAGTTTGTTTGAAGTAAACTCAGAACTTGAAATGTAATGACATTGTTTTTAGTGCAGTGGTATTCTGTTGTGAATTTTAGCACATTTCTTCAGTCTTTCAAAGAGAGAACGTGATAAAATTGCTGTCCTGAAGAGCTCACTGGCATGATAAAGCAAGCATTTGTACTGATCCTGCATGATCACCTGCCTGGACTGTTGCGCATGTCTAATCCCTCTAAAATAGAGGGACTCATGTTTGGAAGTGTGGGATGTCCCTAAGCTTCCAGTACCTACCCTGGGACCTGCAGGCTCTCACCACTGTGAAATAATTATGGTTTGGATCTTGAAATTGCTGCAGGCTCATAGACAAATGCCAAGTGTACTTTACCTTTAGTGACAGAAGAGGGAAGTAAGCGTGTTAAGCAAAGAGCTAGTGAATTAACTCCTATTGTGTACCATTAAGAGGACACTCTTCCTTAGAGTGACGTGGGCATGGTGAAATATTGAGGAGCTGAACAGATAAATCGGTTGGTGTAAGGCACGTGCAAACAATCCCTATTAACATATCAGTTGTTTACAGTAAATGAGATCAAGTTGAAATGGCAAGTGCTTGCCAGCTTCTTCAGCTGGTATAATTATTGAAATATATGAATATAAGGTGATAACAATCAGTTTTGTTTTCATTCTCCACTTTTGTGTAGGAGTTGTGACTTCACACTGAAATGACTCTAGAAGTCTCCAAATAACAAGGAATTTAACCAACTGGTATCCAAGTTTTTTATTTATAAGTGTGGAGTACACAAGTGTGGTTTGTCCTACTTTTTCTAAAGACAAATTCTGGCCACTTGAGAGCACCTGTGTTTATTGCTGCCTAACACTGAAGCAAAGTGTTACGATTATTTCTGTGACCTTTTTGATGATGGCTTGTTTTGTTTCTTTTTTTTTTTTTTTTTTTTTTACAGTCTTTGGTGAGGATTCAGAATGGGAGACAAGCCTATCTGGGAGCAGATCGGGTCCAGCTTTGTACAACATTACTACCAGCTTTTTGATGCAGATAGGACTCAGTTAGGAGCAATATATGTAAGTATCTACACAGTGGGGGCTTGGGCACTCTCCCATTATCTGTCAAGGTTTCCCTTCATAGACCATGTGGGAGCAAACAAATTTTATAGCATGTGGGAATACATCAGAGAGCTCTTGAATTTACTTTGCATTCCTGTGTCTACTTTACCTGAAGGTTCAGTTTTCTGCTTTAGTGGTGTAATCCAAGTCAATTGAGCTTTTGTCACAGATTCCAGGTAGGGATGTGGGCCAGTCATTTTTGCTGTGAATTGCTTCAATTATGAATCAGAGTACCAAGCCAAAGACTTATTCTGCATTTACCCCCTGCAGTTGTTTGTCAGGAAAATGCTGCAGCTACTTCTTTCCTCTGTTTTGCGTGTGTCACTACCTATAATGAAATACTTTGATATTTTTTATGCCATTTTTTAATCTGTAAGGCTTTGGGATAGAGGAGGAGTTGCTTTTTAGTTTTGAAGCAGTTGCTCCCGGATTCTTGATACAGCAAGTGGCTGTGAAGGTAATCTGTAGCAGCAAGTCAGGTGGACACTAATTGGTACAGTGTGGAGCTGAGTGTTTTTCAGGAAGAGCAGATTTCCTCACCAGCTTAATTTTTGTTGTCTGTTGGTCTTTAAAACATCAGGGAGGTCCTGCATCACTGTGTGCTCACCAGCTGATTGCTGAAGTGAATTCAGTAAGACAAGTTCTGGGTTCCCTCTGCTTTTGTGGCTTTATATACTTGAATGCAATAATACTTGAAAGGATGGCCTCTTTCCCTGGCCTGGCTTCTCAGCTTGTCAGCATCAGGTTGATGTCATGTAAGATGTAAGTGGCATCAGCCAGGTGATTTGCTATGTGACCTCAGGTTACACAATCTGTCTTCTAAAAGGAGCATGTCCAAACTCAAGAGTTTGAGGCTGTATTGAGGGGCTCTTCATATTGTTTTTGGTTGCATCTGTGACCCTGAAATGCTTCATGCTGTGGCCCCTCGTTCCCTTCTTTGTTCTTCTGGCTCTTGCTGCACTTTATAGTTCCTCTTGATGATAAGGGGAGGACCAGAAGCTTTTTCAGAGTGGTTGTGATGTTCTGCAGGTTCAGCACAGTGTGGCTGGAAGAAGTGGCTTTTTGATATGGTGTGAGTCAAAAACAGGGCCTGGAAAGTCTACCAGAGAGCATGCAAGTGGAGTTCTTAGGAATCTGCCATTTTCTGCTGAGGCATTCATAGTTTCAGTGAGAGTTAAAAACTGGATGGGAAAGAGTTGGGAATTGTGTTCCTGGAGGTATTTAAACTCAAAAAAGTGGAAGGAATTCCGATCTGTGATAGGGTGCACAAGAACTTGGGCTTATTAGGTGTAGATTGAGGATGCTGTTTAGAGATGGCAGCAGGCAGACTTTGAGCTCAGTGGAAACCAATTTAAATGTCTATTTGCCATGGTTTAAGACTGAATTTCAAAAGGCAGAGCTGTGTCAGTGATTGGATATTGTGACTCTGGTTTAAACAGAAGATCCTAAGCTGAGCAGAAAGCCTCTTGTCTGTTGCTATTGCACCTGACAGAGTGTGCTCAGAACACCCTCCCTCATATTCTGGAAGTGCCTGTAAGCTGAACCATTTCAGTCACTTCATGCCACAGAGAGCAGTCTGTTAGAAAACCTTTAGAGGCACATTCTATGTTTCTGGGTGTGAGTAGGATATACAAATAGGTATCTGAGAGGAAAAAAAATTGGTTGAGAAACACATTTTGCCAGATTTCTTAATATGTTTTTGTCTTTCTACGTGCTTGACTTCATGTCCATAGGTTTATTATTATTTGTTGTGCCCTTTAGATTTGTTTCTGAGAGCTAACTTTGATCCAAAGGCAGAATTTTCTTTGCTGGTAGAATCATGATAACGAAATTTAGTCTATTTAATTTCTAGTTGATTATTCCAGACCTTTTCAGTTGCTCTTTGTAGCTTCTTTCTATCTTCCTTGGAGGTAGTTTTGAAATAGCTGGATCCTAAGGATTTGTGCCAAGTAAACAAAGTCCCTCAGCAGGCTTCTTTAAGGGTTACCTAAGCAGGCTGATGATTTTTTTCTTTCCCCCCCAGATTGATGCATCATGCCTTACGTGGGAAGGACAGCAATTCCAGGGCAAAGCAGCTATTGTTGAAAAACTCTCTGTAAGTCTGTAATCCTTCCTGAATGCTTTGGGAGACAGTTCTGAAGACTCTTAAGTGAATGGCTCCTGAAAATTTCAGTTAGACTTCAGTAGTTTAAAAATATCAAATGCAGGACTTGTACTTCCAACTTCTGGTCCTCAAAAAACATTATTTGTGATTAATTCTATGTAGTGTGGTGTTCCACTGGGGGCTTTACTGGTGGGATGTTAACCAACTCCCTTAGTATGCAAGATTGTTTTGTGACTGTTAATTACATTTGACATTGTTAACTTACTTTTAAATAAAGTGTAGTTCATAAAGTGACTCTGTGATCTAGAGGAATAAAAAGTGGGTTTTGCTCTTTTAAAGCATGCCAAGGAAGTAGCAATAGCAAACTTATTTGGATCTGCCTGTGACAGGCTAAACATTATTAGAAGGAGCCATTTACTTTCTGGTACATGAACTGCAAATAATTTCTACAGTGGAGAGCCTGACTCCTCAATGCATCATTTCTCAGCAGTTCAGATGTGAGCAGTTATGGTTATGACTTTGAAAGCAGTGTTTCCTCTTCAGCAAGTGACAGGAGAGCATTCTGTAACTCCATAGAGACTGAAATTCTGTGTTCGTTTAGTTAAACGTGGAGAAGTTTTATTTTTTTTGAGTAAATCTATGCTTCTGTTATAAAACTGGGTGTACTTACAAGTTGCCATGAGACTCGAACGTTTCTTTCTCTCACAAGATGTGGAGGGCATGCTTTAGGTCCTCAAGGCATTCTGCTCACAGCATGGTATATCAGGCAGATACACCATTTTTACTGCAGATTGAGAAGAAAAGTTCTTAACTCGGATACTTGTCTTGTTGCACAGCTACTACTCCTGTGTTTTGGAATCACTGCTTTCAAACAGGACATCTTGAACTGTGAAGGCTGAGGTTTGCCTTTGGGTCTGTGTTTTAGGTGCCTGCATTGCCTTTGAGGTTATCACTGGTGCACCTGTGCCTTGCTACAGAGCGGGAATTAATGCTTGAGCCTTCTTTCTGGACTTCAGAGTTGTTTCTAGTAGAGTGCCTGTCTTAACCAGGGGCAGCTTGATTTTCATTGAGCATTTGACATAATTATCCTGTAGTTCTGTTAATCTCCTGGACCAAGGAGGAGGCTGGGACAGGTACCTTTGTTGCCAGGAGTGAGTTCCAGTTACTCAACTTTATTCTTGCAGAATTTCTCTTATCTGGCTTCAGTGAGGTTTCAGCAGTTCTGGTACTGAAAGCACACACAAGTTTTAGTGTCAGAGGACACAAAAGCCTTGGTTGTTGTATAGCTTCTCACATGTTAGTTGCTTTTTTGTACTCTTCAGATCAAGAAATGCTTCTCTCCAGTACAGATGGATGTCCATAAGCAATCATCCTTTTGAGGTAGCCTCTCTCTGTTGTAAAAATTGGTGATTTCTCCTATCAGGTAACCCTAGTTTTTCCAGTGGGATTTTCCCCACTGCATCACCTGAGTAGCTCACTTGGCTGGCCAACCATTGGGGTCCTTTTCTCTGAGGGTGACAGTCAGGTACTTGAAACAGGCACTGTCTTACCTAGCCTTGTCTTTGGTTCATTGTCTCCATTTTGTAGCACTCTTGGCTCCACAGCTGGAAAGTTTTCTCCTCCTGGTTTCACCTCTCACTGACATCTTGTCACACTGAAAGCTGAGTTCTGGGTACAGCCACATTAATTCCCCTTCATCCCTCTGCTTTTTCAAGAGACTCTTCTTGCAGGACTTGTTCAACAAGAAGCTGTTGTGCTGAGGTGAAACCAGGCTGCATAGTACTCTTTTCTCAAAAGAAGGATGTGCAATGCTCCAGCCTGTTTGTACAGGCCATGTGGGCACACTGCACATTCAGGTTTGGGATAGTGGCCCTGGAAAATACTCTGCAGGTGGTTCAGGAAAAAGTGCTTTGGATTTTTTTTTTTGTTCCTAAATGTCTATTTCATATTACAAACCAGTTGGCTCACTTTCCAGTTCATAGTAGATTGGGATTCTTCTCCCAGCCAAGGGGAAACACTGCAGGCTTTAGTGAGTGTTCTTGAATTGCATTCCTCTGATTAGAGGGCTATTCCCTACACTTCCTTTGCTTCCCCAGGTCCTGATCCTTCACAGTTTCTGTGTTTTCTCATATCTAAGGATTTAGCTTACTGATATTCTTCCTAGTGCCTTCAGCTTGTACAGGCAAAACTGTACTTCACATTCTTGACACCAGGACTCAGGTATCCCATTCTTGTACCCTAGGCCTTCTAGGAAGTCTTTCAAGCTCCTTCTGCTAGAATGAAATGCAGAACCTGTCAAAGAATGTGTTTGGGTCTGCTTGAGCCTGTTAAATGCCAGGGAAATGAAGCAAAGGTACTGAAGTATGCTCTGAGGTTTAAATGACCACATGCTGATGTCCTCTGCAGTGCATGGACTCTGGGTTTTGTGTTCTCTCAGGGCTCCATTGTACTGAACTGCCACTTCTAAAGCATCAGCATTACACAGCTTTTGATAGAGCAGTGTCAAAATGTCATTTGTGTGACAGGACTCTGGAGATCCCCTACATATTTGATAGTCATAGCTTGGAGTCGTCCGTGGTTGGAATATGAGAGTGTTTTTGGTTGAAAGAGAGGAATTGTGCCCCAGTGTCTGGTGGTTTTCAGTGCGTGTTCCTTGCACACGTAACTCGAGACACAGTTGCACTGGCTACATGGCCATTAAGGGAATTAAAAAGGGGAGAGGTGGATATGTGAGTTTCCAGTTTTGGAAACTGGTTCTGGGTCAACCACGTTTCCTTTCTGTTCATAGCTACTTGAACAAAATAGTCAACTGAGAGTTGTCTGGTAAACCCCAGTATGGGATCATACAGTCTTTGAACCCTGTTCAAAGCACTATTTGATCATGTTTGTGCCTTCATCATGTGAACTTTCTGCTTAGAGTTGATCTGAAATTCTTCAGGCAGTGTAATTAGACAAGGAAAAGATGCTGTTTACTGTACAGAGTGACATTATTTCATGTCTCGGTATTTGAAAAGCACAGTTGTTGTGATCAGTCCAGCCTGAGTAGTGCTGAGTTACGAAAGTACTGCCAAAATAGTCAAATGCTTCATAATGTTGGATTTGCTTGATCTTTGTTTTGTCATCATGCAATGACTGTACACTTCCTTATTTTGCTTTCTTTTCATTGCAGAGCCTTCCTTTCCAAAAAATACAACACAGCATCACAGCACAAGACCATCAACCTACACCTGACAGCTGTATACTCAGTATGGTAGTGGGACAGCTTAAGGTAAACTCCTTCCATGACAGGTTAACAAATGCTTCTGCCATAGGTTTTCTTTTTAGGATTCTAAATAATCTGATCTCTAAAAACATTAAAATGCTCTCTTGGGTGGGAAAGGAACACCAGTAAGCTTGTACTGGGGAGTCATTCTCCTGCTCTTCCAGACTGTCAAGAAAATGCCTATCCCTTCAGATAACTAGCATTAGGTAAACCACCTGTAATTTGACAGCCCTGTGTCACAATGCCAAGCAAAGTGCCATGGTTTTTACTGTGCATGCAAATATCAGGAGTTCTGGAAACATCAGTATTTCCCTTACTCTGATGCAATAAGACTTCAGTGTCTTCTGTTGTGTTTAAAAGCATTATTACAGTGTTCTTGGATAATATAAGCACATCTCAGTTAATGTGCTCTCTTTGTTGTAACATGTGCATCGAACTGTGGCTTTGCAGACACTTTGTTAGCTGTCAGCTCTTCAATAAGACCATGATTTTTTATTTGTTATCACTGTACACAAGAACGCAGTCCTGGTGTTAATGCAGTGGTCTGTTAATGCAGTGTGTGGTCAAAACTGGTTCAACAATGGGAGTGTGGCCTCTGAGATCAAACACTTGCTGTTTAAACAGCTGCTTCTTTGAAGAAATCAGATTATTTTTCAGGCTGTAGTTTGATTACATTGTGGTTTAAGTTATTGTTCAGTTACACAGCTGAACTGTGTAAGCTGACCCAATCCTGTTCCTTTGAGGACATGTTGCATCTTATACCAGGGTCACAGATTTGTAAATTGATAGGACTACTTATGAAAGAAATTATCCTGGAATCTGCAAAAAATATCCTATATATGAAGTCAGCTGAAGGCAGAACTTGCTCACAGTGGGCAGTCATTATTTACAAAATGTGAAATTACATAACAATAGTTAAAATTACTGGAGGTAGTTTTGTCAGGATTTGGTCCAGACATGCAGTCAAGTCAGGACCCTAAAGCCATCCAGTCTTTACAGTTACTTGATCCCAGGTGTCTTTTAAAGTAGCTGTTTAGGCTTCCTTTTCCTGTTAACTCTGAATGGCACCTTCAGTATCAGAACATTCAAAATTGCACTGACTGAACTGTTAACTAAGCAAATGTAGGACTGGAAGTCTGAATTCCTCCTAATTGTTTTGGGCTGGGTAGTTGGGAAGAGTGGTTCCCAGTATATTGCATCCATTTCTAAGCCTAACATAGATAGCTTTGGCTCTCACCACAGCTGCTCCTCTTCCTAGCTGGAAGTTGGGTTCCAGCTTTCTTGTTGCTCAGTCCCACCTGCACACACTCTTGAGGAAAGACAGCCACACATGGCCATGGAGCACTAAACTGCAGGACAGGCATGAAGTCAGATGTGCTGAGCTCATCTGTTATATATCTTGGGTGTGCACAAAACTCAGTGGTGAGCCCAAGACTTTTTGACTCGGTGTCTTGGATCGTTCATTTCTGCACGTGGTTTTGCACTGTCATGTTTCTAAGGTTGTTGCAAAATCATCAAGTGGATCGCTGCCTGCAACAGTGATTGTGTTGAATCCTGTGTCAACATACCAAGTTCTGAAAGATTCTGTAAAGCTTTTGAGTTTTCTTATCCTTTAGTATGGTCATTAGGGTTGTAGATGCAATCTGACAGCTTTCCATAAATACCATGGCTTGGAGTAGTGCTGTTTTTATTCTCGGAATAACTTAAGTTTCTTGATCTCATCCAGAATAATTCAGGGATCATGTGTTAGTGCATCTGTGTATTTGGAAAGAACATAGTGGATGAAAGTATTCCCATTGTCATGATCAAATCTAATTTGTTTGTGAGTTTTTAGTAGGAGAGGTGACATTTTTCCGCTCTTTTATGTGTCTAGTTTGAGCTTTAGAAAGCACATTTCCAGCCTCACCAGTGCCCAGTACAGGGCAATCACTACCCTGGCCCTGCTGCCACACTGGTGTTTATACAGACCAGGATGCCTTTGGCCTTCTTGGCTGCCTAGGCACAAGCTGCTCATGTTCAGCTCCATCAGTCAGCACTCCCAGGTCCTTTTCTTTAAGCAGCTTTCCAGTCATTCTTCCCCAAGTGTGGTGTGTTGCATGGTGTTGTTGTGACCCATGTGCAGGGCCTGGCACTTTGCCTTGTTGAATCTCATCCCACTGGCCACAAGCCATTGATCCAGCCTGTCCAGAGCCCTCTGCAGAGCCTCCAGCAGATCAACACTGCCTGACAACTTGGTGTTGTCCACAAATTTACTGAGGTTGAACTCAATCCTGTCATACAGATCTTCAGTGAAGATGTTAAACAACACTGGCCCTAACACCGAGCCCTGAGGGACACCATTAGTGACCAGTTGCCAACTAGACATGATACCATTCATCATCACTCTTTTCAGTCATTCAACCGGTTTCCAGCCCAGCAAAGAATCCACCTATCCAGGCCATGAGCAGCCAAAGTTTCCCAGAGAATGCTGTGGGAGACAGTGTCGAATGCTTTACTAAAGTCCAAATAGACAATGTCCACAGCCTTTCCCTCATCAACCATGTGGGTCACCTTATGGTAGAAGGAGGTCAGGTTGGTCAAGCAGGACCTCTTCATGTACCCTGGTGTTGAACTCAGTGCTCCGTGGGCCTGATCCCTCCGTTTTCCCACACTTGCTTTTGATCTCACTTAGGATCATCTGCTCCATGACCTTTGCTGGCACTGAGCTCAGGCTGACAGGCCTGTAGTTCCCTGGGCCTTTCTTCATTCCCTTTTTTGTAGAGGCTTCATGTTGGCCAACCTCCAGTCCTCTGGGACCTGCCCAGTAGACCAGGACTCCTGGTAGGTGATGGAGAGCAGCTTAGCAAGCTCCTCTCCCAGCTCCTTTAACACTCTTGGGTGTAACCCATCTGGCCCCATAAACTTGTGTAGTTTATAAGTGGAGCAGGAGGTCACTAACCGTTCCCTACTGGTTTATGGGGATTTCAGTCAGCTCTCCATCTCTGCCATCCAGCTCAAGGAACTGAGTACGCTGAGGATGGCTGGTGTGACTATTAATGACTGAGACAAAAGCAGCATTAAGTACCTCAGCCTTTACGTCATCCTCAGTCACTAGGTTTCCCCTAGGATGCAGGAGAGGATGGAGTTTCTGCTTTTATTGCTAATATATTTTAAAAAGTACTTTTATTTATCTTTTATGCTAGTGGCCAGATTTAGTTCCAGCTGTGGCTTTGCCTTTCTAACTTTCTCTCTACGTAACCCAGCAACATCCTTGAACTTTTAATGGGGTAACTGTCCCTTTTTCCATAGGTGATAAATTTCCACTACTATCTCCTTGTTCAGCCAGGCTTGTCTCCTCCCTGCTGGTTTGATTTTTGGTACTAGGGACCACCTGCTTCTGCACCTGAAAGATTCAATTTTTTAAGAGTGTCCAGCCTTCCTGGACTTTTTTGTCCTTCAGTAGCGTTTTCCAAGGAATTCTGCTGACCAGTGTCCTAAACAGACTGTAGTCATCCCTCTGGAAGTCTAAGGTGGAGGCTTTGCTGACCTTCTTCCTGACTTCTCCAAAGATTGAAAAGTCAGTCATTTTGTGATCTCTTTGCTCAAGACGTGTTCATGACATGAACATGAACCTCGTTGTCATATGTAGAGAATACTTGTGTGACTACATCCGCATTGACAGACATTTTAATGCATTGTGGTGCTGTTCTAGATGCAGTACTGTAACTGGGAATAACTGGGTTCAGTTAGTGCCTTGTAATGAGTGGTTCTGTAGCTCCAGGTGAACAGGGTGCACTTCACACACAAACATGGAGCTGCATACTTACTTTTGTTTAAAAGTTGCTTTCTTAGTAGTGTGGAAATTCAGCTTGCACCCATTGGTCTCAAGAAAAACTGAGGAGAAAGTTGCACAAGGGAGGGCACTTCCAAGACCGCCAGTAGTAGAAGGGAAAAGCCAGGCTTACGGTTACCCTTTCCATGGCCCTGTGAGCCAGATTATTCAAAGGCCAGTATAATCAATGTATATGCTTTTGAATCCTCTGCTGTTTTCCAAAACTCGCTTCATTTTATGTAATGAAGAAGCATGCATCATGCTTTTAATAAGCAATCTAAGAAAATAATAATGCTAAAATAACCTGTGACACGCCCTTTCTAAGAAGTCATTATTTTCATGATATTGAAATGGATTTTTTGAGACCTTAGTTGCTCGAGTTCCTAGTCCCAAAAATTCAGTGGAAACTCATTCTTAAGTCAGCTGGCCACATCTTGCATTTCTTTCTTAAACCATTATATTTTGATATTGTTTGATTTTAGGGGGAGGAGAAAAAACTCAAACCAAAACAGAGGAACCTTCTACCCTCCCTGCATATATCGTGGGGTGAACTGCTATCAAACTGTCACAAAGCCTCAGCTCTCTTCTTAACTACACAAGAAGAGTTCTGAAGAAATCACAGGGCCAAGGACTATTACTGTCTGCACTGAGGGGACTGGGCACAACAGCTTCTTGGAGATGATGTTGGAGAATAATAGAACATCTAAATAGGGTGCATGTTACTAGCAAGGATATTACTGTAACTCTCTTGTCATGTTTTATTGCTGTTCTTTGTCTGGGTGCATGTTTGCTTGCTTCAACTAGGAAGAATAAGCACCAGTTTAAGCCTGTAGGTGTGAGTTTTACTTTGTGTGACCCTACTTTGCCAGTGTTCATCCAGAATGTTACCCAGTGTGTTTCACCTCATAACGTATTTCTCCTGTCATGCTCAGGCAGATGATGACCAGGTTCTAGGCTTCCACCAGTCATTTTTGTTGAAAAGTTTTCAAGGTGCCTGGGTGTGCACCAACGAAGTCTTCAGGCTAGCCCTCCACAACGTCTAACCCTCTGCCTTACCACTCTTCCATGCAGTCCTCGCTGTCCTGGTTGAGTAAGGAGTGCTCTCTTCTCGCTCTTCTGTCCCTTGAGCTCGGCTGAGAAGCATGGCTGTGGCTTGTGCCTTCTCAGAGCAACCTAGCAGATATGTGGCTCTGCC